CTCCAGCCCCAATGCAATATTTTCTTGAGAAAAATGTAACACTTGGATTTTGTGTTATAGATATTTGCTATCCAGTTGCTTTCTCACTTGTGTATCCAGTATGCTTTACCAAAGTCACTTAGTGTGGCTCGCCTGGCTGTTAACGTCATGGGAACTTTGCTAACAGGTGTGTAGACATCAACAACGAAGACTTGTAACATGAATTGCTATTGTGCGTTTATTTTCTGAGTTTAGTGACTCTAGTCTTTTGTGTTACTATGAAACAGTATAACGCAATATATATTGCTGTGTAATCTAAGTCATCTTTTGAATTATGCTTTGAAGATTCTTCTATTTAAAATGTGATGTATAGTGTAGAGGAGATGAATAGGTAAATGATATTTTTAATTTTGTGAATAGATAATACATATGGGCTTACAGTAGCAGTACAAGATCACATTCTTAGAAATGAAAGCCACAGCTACTTTATGAATGGAATTATTTAGTAGAGAACAAGTTAATATTTATTGTAAGTGCTCAGAGCTCTAGAAAAATGTAATCATACATATATAAAGATGTAAATATACTAATTTCATTAAGTTTTAAGTATACGTTAACATTTTAACCACTTTGTGGTTCATAGAGTAAAATGGCATAGAGATAAGCTACATTATAGTTGAGTCAAAGCTGTGGCTTAATGTAGTATTCTTTGTGGACATTCTCATAATATGATGTCCGTTTTTCTTTGCCTTGTATCCATCTCACGTTATAATTCTTTATAGTAGTATATATTGCCTGAATTCAGTCCCACCTTTTCCACTAACTGGTTGGTGTGATTCATGTCAAGTTTAGTTAAAAGTTAAAAGATGTGTCATTCTGGAAATGGTAAGAATTAAGTGGAATAATGCACGCAGCCCACTTATGATAGTGCTTGGGCATAATAAAAATTCATACATTGGGTGATGATTGTGAGACTGTGGGCTCTCATGGAGGCAGGGCTTATAGAGCGTTAGGAGACTTGGTATTTCTAGTACAAAGCATGGTGCTTCAGTATTTGTTGTATAGGTTGCATATATTCAATATATATTTGTGTAGTAAACAATTCTGCTTAATTTCTTTCCAACAGTTTTAACACAAGCTAAGCGCTACGCTTTTTTCATGCCAACTCTCCCAAGTTTGGTCTCTTTTTGCCGAGCATTTCCTCCACTATATGAGGATATTATGTCTTTACTGATTCAGATAGGACAAGTTTGTGCCTCTGATGTTGCCACTCAGACGAGAGACATTGATCCAATCATTACACGTAAGTGGTAACTCATTTTCAAGAGTGATCTTACTATCTCAAAGATGACTGAATTCCTTTCCAGAGTTCTTGCCTTTATTTGTTTTTCTTTCCATATGTTTTTAGGTCTTCAACAAATAAAGGAAAAACCAAGTGGATGGTCACAAATCTATAAAGACCCAGCTAATAAAAATGGATCCAGGGACACTGTCAGCATGGATCCTGATGTACAGCTCTGCCATTGTATTGAAAGCACAATAATTGAAATAATAAATATGAGTGTTAGTGGAATTTAAAAAAATTTTCAGTAAAAAAGTGAAGCTATTTGCTGCATACACCCAACATGAATCTGCATGTCATAGCAACTCCATACCAAATGGAAACAGTGATGTCTCGGAATTACTCACTTGACTCAATTCAACACGAGTACAGTTTAGAATCTCTAAGAATTATGCTTGCTGGTATTGATTGGCACATCTCTGGATCTACTTTGCTGGTATGTGTATATTACAGCAGCTGAGCTTCTTTTCCTTTGGGAACACATTTAAGAACTCATTACTAGAAAGGGAATTTGGCCTTCTACTTAGCTTTTGAAGTGAGAAAGATTGCTATGCCTTCAATTTCTTCTAAAAATGAGCATGTGGGTAGCCCTAGTATTTAACTCTGAGCTTGTAAGAGTATAGTTCAGGAGGAATGATGGGAGGGAGAGTAAAGGATCACAGGAAGGGAGAAATCAGGAAAAATTAGGAGTTAAATACCCCAATAGAGGTCTCAAAGACTTGCAATACAGGTAACAGTAGTGCAGGTTGGAATTCTAGTTCTCAAGAATTGGTATTGAGAAGGCTTGAAGGAAAGGCGGGTAGCTTCTATAAATGATTTTCATGGAATTATGGGCGAGGATTTGTAGATGTCATATACTTGCTTCAACTTTTACTACTATATGAAGCCATATGTTTAAAGAGATACTTGAATCATTTGAAAGTTTAAGATACTGGTTTAAAAGTGTTTACAAGAACAACAAAGAAGAACCTGAAAGGAATTTCTCATTTATTTTATTTTTTAAAGTTTATTTTTATAATACTTTATTAACTTATCTAATTCTCAGAGAGGGGACTATGTATCATTCAATGAAAGAGCAATAAAACCCACTGGGTTAAAGAGCTCTTGGTTTGTCATCAGGATGGTAATTCACATTTTACTTTGAGAAGAACTTTGGGTAAGAAAATATATACAGCGTTTGAACCTCAGGAAAAAATTCACATGTGGAAAATACTGTCTTGCTGAAGGATTTTGGAGTCCTCTGTTAGTAATTTCCATGGTTAGCCTAGATGCATTCAGGTAACCCATAAGCCCCATTTCCACCCTCTAAATTAAGTATCGAATGCGGAAAGAACTTCGTGCTCTCTGAGATATACCTCAGTCACTTTTATCCCACTTGAAACAGACCTCCTCACTTGTAAAGGAAATTAGGCAAGTTAGTTACGTATGTGTGTTTTTTAAGAAAAGAAATTTAACTTCAGCCTTTTCACTAGCAAATACAGATCTCATTTTCCTTCTTTGTAAAATGGGGTTCCTTTGGCCCTACCTCATAAGGGTATTCTACAAAAACTAGTTTGTAGCGCTTTCCAGTAACGAAGTGCATAGTATCATGTGTGATAGAATATTTATAACTTTTTATTACATGCTTATGGTTCAATTAAATTTTGATGTGAAGAGTAAAATAATATGCTAAAATGCCATAAGAATTTTCATATTTTTAAACAAGGCAGTTTTGTAATATCTTAAAATTAAATACAACTGCTCCTTTTTTTAAAATTTTTATTTTTAAACTGAGGCCTTGGTGTATTCTGTGTGAATAGGTATCACCCTCAGAAAAGGTTGCAGTAATTTTTCTAGCTAAATGCAGTACATATGTCCGGGGTCAGTTTTCAGACTGGTTAAAATCTGCTGTGTAAAATAAGATATGCTGTTTTGCATCAGATTTGTTGATGATGTAAATAAAACGTGTAAATATATTAGTAAATGTTAATATTCATGTATTTTAAGTTAAGATTATAAAATTTGTCACAATGTGATTTTTTTATTCAAGTGAAAACAGATGTGTGCAGCTATTTTGAATATTGATTTATAAACATTCATATTCTTATCAAATGAATTTGTCCTCTTTTTGTTTTATTCTGTGACTGCTAACCTTAAAGAAATAGCTTAAGGCCATGGAGTCCAGGACTGTGTGGTTTATTGGAATCATGTGTTCCTTTTGGTGTTCCTTTCAGTTAGGCGGCATGCAGGCATGCATTGAATAAAAATGAGGCTAGACTCCATTGAAAAGCCTTTGGGATTTAGATGAGGAAGTTGACAGTAGTTAACCTGTAGCAATTACTGAAAAGATTTGCTGGTTTAAAAACTTGTGAAAGCAAAATAATGACTTAAAGTTGTTTTAAGCATTTACCTTTATGACTTATCCTTCATCTCATTGAACAATAAATTACCCCTTTTCATATAAATTTTCACATTATTGAATTTCTAACACTCAACTTCTAACACTTAACCCTAACACCTAGCTTTTTTTTTTTTTTAACTTTATGCAATTTTTTTTTTCTTGCAAGTAATTTTTTTTTTTTTTTTTTTTTGGTAATTTTACTGGGTTTCTAATCATTGAATTGATATATCAAACTGGAAAGCTTATACATTTTAGGCATTATTGTTGCTTGAGGTGTTAGTACTCTTTTTCTTAGATACATCTTTAGGATAAATTCCTGGGATTGAGATGACTAAATCAAAGCATAGATTTTTATGACAAGTTTTTTGCCATTTTGGGAAGGTGGAGTACAATAACAGAAACGTAAATAATTCAAGAAATCTTATTCTTCCTTCTTCCAGTAAACCTCTCCAAACTAGTTAATTGAATTTAAGACACTGGCCCAGGTTTTGCCCTGGGGGAATTAGTATTTAAGCCAAGGTTAGGCTATATAGAATTTTAAGACCCCAAATCAAAATTACATAATTTGGTGAGGTCATGATTAACTTCTTATCTGTGAGAATACTGAAATCACTTCCTGATAAAAGAATACATGGTCTTAGGGATGGGAGGCAGATAAACCTAAATGTTCTGTTGGTGGAGACCGCAATAGTGTATCTCTGGCTGGTTTTATTATTTGGGAAAGACTTGAATATTAAGAAATACTGTACCAAGGGCCGGCAATACGGCTCAGCGAACTAAGCGCTTGTAAGCGCAGGGGCCAGGGTTCGAGCCCTGGCACTGCAGGCCGCGCCGGTCCCGCCCCCTTAGCCGGCGATGGAGTCCGGGCGTGGTGGCACACACACACACACACACACACACACACACACACACACACACACACTGTACCAGCTTTTTTTCTAATACCTTGGCCACTGCAAATCTAGAAAATTTCAATTGAGAGGTACTGATGAAAAGCTTGAAAACGAGGCACAGCTTGAAGATATACCCTCTCGGTTGGCCTAAAGAGAAATGCTTCCGTGGGTTGTCACCATTTCAAAAGTCTAAAGGTGAAGACTTCACTTTAAGCAAAACTCGCCTTTCCCTGTACGGATGCTTGCTTTCCGGAGCCACCAAGTATCAGAGGCTCCTATTGGTTGCCAGAGGGCTCGCCCCTAACATCGCACAGGGATTGGCTGCTTGCCTTCTTCCCTTGGCTGACCATTGGTTGTCTGAACACGTTTGGCGATTGGATGTTTGGAGCCTGGGGCTGGGAGGCGGGAATTCGTCCGGGTTTGCATAGTTCCCGGGTCTGAGAGCTGCGAGGTGTGTAAGACGGCGAGGTTGGCAGCCGCGGATTTGTGGAGAGAGCCGGAGCCCCCAGAGGGAGGGAGAAGATTAAGCCTCGGTGCTTTCTTCTGCACTCGGGCTCTCCATCTTTTGTTCTCAGAAATCAGTTTCTTTTTCCGTGTGAGTCGGAGCCCAGGCTTGTCGCTTCGCTTTCCCGCCAGCCCAGGCAAGTCCGAAGGAGGCCGGCCGGCCACGGGGCGCGCGGCCCGCGCAGGCCTCCGCTGTGCCCGACCCTTCTGGCCTGGCAGCCGGGGACCCCGGGCTGTGGGAGGCGGGAGTGGAGGGCGGGAAGCCCGAGCCGAGCGGGCCGCCCCAGCCTTCCCGCCCGCGCAGGTTCCGGGCCGAGCGGCCGCGAGGGGCGGGCCTCGAGTTCTTGATTCAGATTAACAGAACCCACCAAGCCTCACAGACAGAACTTTCAGAAGAGAAAATACCTTAGAAGAGTGGTTTGTTTGTTTTCTTGTCGGTACTGGAGATCGAACCCAAAGACTTGGTAGGCAAGTGCCACCCCCGACCCACATCCTCAGAAGAGTGGTTCTTTGGAATGCACAGGCTGTGTGGTTAAGGTGATTTATTGGCTGAATAGTCTAATTCTGTGGACTTTTTCTTCAGAAAAATCCAGTCATGTACACCGGTTTCCACATACAGTTTTAATAGGTCACAGTTTCGGAATTACAGCTGTGGATTCTAGGTTTAGAAAAGTGAGAACTAAAGTAAATCACTTCTGTGTCAGATATTAGGTTACACACTTCTGTCCTGAGTAGTTTTCGTAACTCTTGACAGGTAAGTAGTAGTAGTATCTCAGTTCCATGGATGAAGAATCAAGGTCTGAGAGGTAAAGTGATTTACACTGTAAAATTCAAACTTGGATTTGCCTTACTCCAAAGCCATCGAAAATAAGAACTATTGAGCACCTACTATGTCCTGAAGCAGTTTCTCCCTTACAGTAATTTTAAAATTAGGAGTTATTACAGAATAGGATCTTAGACCAAAGCAAGGAAAAGACCTGTCAAGGGCAATGTATCAGAGAACCTTTCAAAACCTGACTCCTGGTCCACATCTTTTTCCTTCTAACTCCAAGACTGTGGAAAGAGATACAGGAAGGTACAGAATAGGAGAAAAAGACTAAGAATTAAGGGGAGCTGGGGAGATAGCTCAGTGTCATAAAGTGCTTTGAGTTTAATTTCTCTGTACCAAAAAAAATAAATAAATAAATAAATGGAGACATTCGCCTTAGTTCATTTCTGTAGCTTGCTCGTATCTAAGATGTTATAGAAGTTAATACAGAAATTGGTACGTCCTGTATCATGTTTGCCTGTTATTTAATCCATTCAACAGTTTACAGAGTAGATATTGCCAGTATCCTTAGTTTATGGATGAGGACACGGAAGTCTAGAAACGTTAATTTGCCCAAAGTTATGCAAGGAATGCATGGCACAGTAGGGATACAAATCCTGATCTGGCAGCCTCTAGGACATGCTTTCCACCACTGTGATCTGTTTATAGGACTAGGGAGTTCTTTTGCTTCCATTTGTTGTCTTCTAGTTTTCTAGACTTCTGTCCTACTGTTGAGTATTTTCTTTGAATGACTTTGTTTCAGTATTGTTTTACTTTGTATTCCAATTAGGAATCTGAAGTAAACAAGAAAGCAGGATGTCCTCCTCTGAATACACCATTGGTGGGGTGAAGATTAGCTTTCCCTGCAAAGCTTACCCATCACAGCTTGCTATGATGAATTCTGTAAGTAGTTTTTCAGTAATTCTTTATCAAGGTTCAGACACTTATGACTCATACATTGAGTATATCCCAGAAAATGGATTGAGAATATTTGTAGAATATTGAGAATATTTGAAAGAATAAGCTTTGAGAAAGTAATATGGATTACTATTAACTGCACATACCGATAACTGGGATGCAAAAATGTTTCTATTTCCTTTAGTGAATTGCTGCTTTCTATAAAGTATTTTCTGTCTTACAGAGTACTATATTTCTCACCATTAATTTTATTTGAAGTGTACCTGTATGGAATTAGGTCCAGGAACTAATATGGGATATCAAAGCTCACAGATATCCAAGTTGATTATATAAAGCAGTACATATTTGTATATAGGCTGTGTACATCTTCTCTTCCATATACTTCAAATCATCTCTAGATTATTTATTTATTTATTTATTTTAACGGTACCAGGGATTAAACTCAGGAACTTGTGTTTGCCAGGCAAGTGCTTATTCTACTGAACTATCTCCTTGGCCCTTCTAGATTATTTATAATACCGAATGCAATGGAAATGTTATATAAAATTATTATATTCCATTTAAAATAAGCACAAGAAAAAGTCTGTACATACTGAGTACAAACATTTTTTTCTTTCTTTCTTTTTTTTTTTTTGAGTATTACTGACTTCTGGTTACTTTAATCCATGAATGAGGAATCTATGAGTATAGATAGCCATCGTATTTGAAACATAGAAAATTAATATAAAAATTTGAGTAAAGCAAGTTTTCAGTTTATTATATCTTAATATTTTGCCAATTTACTTGATGTCACATTAGTATCCTGAATTTGTTCTTTTTCTTTTTTAATAAACATCTTTGCCTCATTCCTAATTTTATTTTTTTATTTTTTATTTTTTTTGGCAGAACCGGGGATTGAACTCAGGCCCTTGCGCTTGCCAGGGAAGCACTTATTCCACTGAGCCATCTCCCCGGCCCATTTTTCTTTTTCAGTATGTTTTCATAATTTTACTACATATGTACGCATGAACAATATAGGGTATTATTTGACATATGTTTAAGCTTTGTACGGTGAGGTGGGCTTAGTGGTACATGCCTACTATGTTAGTGACTTTGGAGACTGAGGCAGGAGAATTACAAGTCTGGAGGCTATCTGAACACTTTAGACTATCTCAAAATAAAGAAATACAACTGGTTGGGGATGGGCCTTCTGAGTAGAGTGCTTGCCAAATACATACTGTAGGAGACCTTGGGCTCAGTCCTGAGCACTGCAATCTGCAGTAGCAGTAGTGACAACAGCACAGATGTATGGTACTGTACCTATCTGCAGAACTTATTTATTTTTGTGGTGGGAAATCTATCCCAGGGCCTCATGTGTACTAGGCAAGTGTTCTATCATTGAGCTATACTTCCAGGCCGCTGCTTCCCTCCCCTCCCCTTTTCCCTTCTTCTCCTTTTCCCCTCTTGTCTTCCTTTTTCTCTCCCTTCTCCTTTCCTCCTCCTTTTTTGCTTAACATTATATTTTTACATGTAGTCCTGTTGATCATTAGTCTGTTTCAGTTGCAGAGTAGTATGAATACAAGAATTTTATCTGTCCTTTTTTATTGTTAGGCATTTTGCTTGTTTACATTCTTTTGTAATTAGCAAACTGTGCTGTTATGGACTTTCTTACACATTTTGTGTAGGGAAAAAAATATACATGTAGCTGGATTTGATTGGAGGTAGGCATTTTAGCTTTACTACAAATTATTAATTTCTTTCCCCATTCTTTTTCTTTTATAGTTTGAGGGATTCCGCTCATTGAGTACTGAGTTACATCCTCAGCCCTACTTACTTTAATTTATTTTGTTACAAGGTTTACCAAGCTGGCCTTGAATTTGTTATACTCCTGCCTCCTGAATAGCTGGTATAGGCATGTACCATACACCTGTCAGTGCATTCCAGTTTGACAGAGTGATTGCAGAAGTAAAGCCCAAATTACATTTTTCATTTTGTCTCTTGGGCCTCATAGGCTTGGAAGTCCAACCTAATCTTAGTGCAAAGTGTAAAAGAATAAAGCCTAGATTGAACTAAATACTGGTTCTTGTGCTATGGCTCTGTGCTATTGAGTGCGGCCTCAATTCTCCTTGCTATTTGGTTTGCACTTCTAATGGAAAGAGGCCTAAGAAGGTAAAATGTTTATTGATTTTCTATTAAGTTGGGTTTTTTTTTTCTCCATAGATTGTCAGAGGATTGAACAGTAGGCAGCATTGTCTGTTGGAGAGCCCTACTGGGAGTGGAAAAAGCTTAGCCTTACTTTGTTCTGCTTTAGCATGGCAACAGTCCCTTAGTGGTAAGTAGTAGTTTCGTCTTTTCAGATTGCTATTAGGATCTGAAAAAATATAATAAAGCACTTTTATGAGTATTTAACCATATTCTAGCAAATTTAAATATTCTAAAAATTTTTAATGTCATATATTTCCAAAAGAGTTTCAATATAGCAAAATATATTTAATCCTAAAACAATATTAACATAGTCTTTTATTTAATGATTCAGAAAGCATTTTGAGCCTTTTGGATGCTTGTTAGAGTTATGACAGCAATGAGATGATGATTTATATGTAAAAAATACAAGTGAGTGGAATATTGAGGCATATGCCTTTAATCCCAGCTCTGGAGGCAAAGGCAAAAGGACTGCCATGAGTTAGAGGCCATCCTGGGCTACACAGTGAATTGAGCTATGTAGTAAGAGCCTGTCTCAAAAACAAAACAAAACAAAAAACCAAGGCAAGTAAGCCAGGTGTGGCAGCACATGCCTGGAAGTCCATCACCTGGACGGCTGAGGCACAAGAATCGCTGTGAGTTTGAGGCCAGCCTGGGCCACATAGTGAGTTCAAGGCTAGCCTAAACTACATAGTAAGACTGTCTCAGAAAGAAAAAAAAAATTGAGCAATTCCAGGTGTAGTGGCACACACGTGTAACTCAGGCAGCATGGGGAGCTGAGGCAGAAGGATGGCAAATTTGAAGCTAGCCTGGGCAGTGTAGCAAGGCCCTTTCTCAAAATTTTAGAAAAAGGCTTAAAGGGCTGGTGATGTGTCTCAGTGTGAGGGCTCTGGGTTCAATCCTCAGTACCAAAACAACAACAACAATAAAAAAACCCCAAACAAACCAAAAAACCAAAAACCAAAAGAAAAGATGTGTCTGTTGTTATGCTAAATAGTATATATACTAATTGCTGACTTTTAAAAAAGTAAATCTTGGTCTGGGGAGATCTAAGTGCCTGCCTTGCAAGCACAAGGACCCAGGTTTGATCCCTAGTACTGCATGCCATGCTGGCCCCAGAACCCCGG